TCTCTCTCTCTCTCTCTCTCTCTCTCTCTCTCTCTCTCTCTCTCTCACTCACTCTCTCTCTCTTTTTCTTAATCCAATCTTAATCCTTAATATCGGAATTGACCTTTTCTGCCCATACCGTTGTGGTAGACTCTGAGCGGTGTGTAATTCCCATTTCCGTTCATTGCTGTGCATAGAAGAAACAGGGAGAAGGGATGAAAACATAACTGATACAAAAGTATAATTAAAACAATAAAAACTGATTATACAATAAACTAAAAGTTAGCAGAAATCGGTGAAAAACCTAAAATAATGTGAAGAATGTCGAGAACGGAATCTTCTTTTTATTTTATACAGAAAAATAATTTTGTAGATGAAAATAAAGACCGATGAGAAAGATATAAAGCAATGAACAGTTGCTAGATGAATAGTTAATAGAAATATTAGTCAGCAGACTGCAGTGAAGCACAATTTGAGAAGCGTAAAGTACGTATGTACACGTTGTGTTGCTAATCTTACCGTTTCAATGGAACTGAGAAATAGGACATTATTTACACGGATATAACAACTAAAATAGTAGGGTGTCAAGAGAATCTCGGTCGTCTCAGTGCGTATTATTGTAATTTCAACTGCTTTTTTGTTTTCAAAATAGCAAATGCAATTATAAGTATGGCTCAAACCGATCGAATGATTTCAGGATACTCACTCAGTTCATACTCCTTGATAGCGGCTTGTGTAAGAAATGCGATTTGCAGGTAAGAAACAGTGACGAATTTGTTAAGTACTTGGTACCGATAAATACACTCACCTTGCACAACTGTAGGGGGTTGCCGAGGACCCTGAATAGTGTGAGCATGACAACGCGGCTTCAATAGGCCATGATACAGGACAAAGTATAAGGCAGCGACTGCTGCAGCCGCTACTGCCATGTAATGATAAACGAATCTCAACGAGTCTACGATATCAGAATCGTCTACGTTTATGTAAGCACCAATCACGGCTCCGATGCATCGACCTGTGACACAAAAGACACGCTTAAAGTGTTTGCAATCTTAGCGTATTATCAACTATTAAAATTTGATACGCCATACCGATGCAGAAATGAGCGATTACAGGTAGCGCCTGGGCAGTTACGGTTAAATGTCGCGGCACAAGATGCCGAAGGTAGAGGATGGCGGTAACCCACATAATCCCAAGAGTGAACACTTCTAGGGCCTCTGAAATCAAGGACCACCAAGGTCCTGAGACAAGGCTCAAGCCAGTAAATCTGAAAATAAGTTTTCCAAGTGTTTGAAACTTCAGAAACTATTGTTACGATCTAGCATTTACGGCGTAACAGGATGTAGTATCATAACTTACCTACCTAATTATGTAGACGGTAAAGGCAGTGATGAGAAGATTACTATGACCGCAATAGTCCACCAGATGCTCAGATTTCCAAAGAAACAAGAAAGCCGGCACTGCTCCTACGGTCATAGCCACGCCAATGGGAAACTCGTTGCCCCCTAATCTTTGCAAATGTCTGAAATAATAATAATATAGATTCGAAGTTAGGACAGAAGAGATTTTGGAGACTTTCGGCGATAAAGGAAATCTCTTACAATGGCAGATAACTGTCCATGGCGCTCCAGAAGGTCCCCATGACGATAAGAATGATGACCAGAACAGCGGTCTCGCTGCCGTACCTTTTAATAGCGCTCATGGGAAGCGCCAGCATGCCGCTTCTCGTATGCCACCACCATTCTGGCGGACTCAGCGGCATACCGTTCGCACAAATGGCAACGAGGGCTGCTAGAAGCATCATAGTCGCGTGCAGAGCAATCGGCAGGTAATAGAAAAAATTTAGGTGTTCTACCAAAGTGCATAGGTAGCCGGTCAGAGGACCAAAAATAGCAAATCCCAGAGAGCCGAAAGCTAATTGACGACCCACGTCACCGCGTCCGCAGGATGTTTCTCTCGTTGCTATCACCACCGCGGCGTCGATCAGCCCTACGGCCGTCGTTGGAAAAATATCGGCGACCGATCGAATAGCCAAGTACGTCCAGAAGACTAGATACGACAAATCTTCTGTTCGTTGGCATTGGCTCTCTGCGAAGATACTATCTGTAAAAAATATTCGATGAGATTTAATTCGAATGACACGTTGGAAAATGTTATTACCTGGGAGGATGTACGCGTCGACCAAGTCGCATTTGATGGAGCAGGTCTTATTAACCTCAGCCATTCTGGCCTTCAGTTTGGACGGTATGCGACAAGCAAAATACTCGGACAGAGGATACGCACACCATTCTCTGTCGCTTTCGTTTTTCAGAGGTTGACCTAGAGTGGTGTTCACGGACAAGGTGCCGGTGTACTCGGTGTACACGTGGCACACCACATTGTCGCTCTCGTTGAAGCAGAGATGAGGAGGCTCGCTGCCGGCCATTGCGAATCTTCGAGACTTCTTGTATTCTTCTTGATCCTGAAGAATGTAATTTCTTTGTATCCCAGAGAGTGGTAACATATCCTCGAATGGTTTAATACTCTGATGTGTATACTCACCTGCTGATACATTTCCTGCTCCAGAGGAATGACCGTGGAGTCACCGCTTCCATAGAAAGGAATACTCGATTCGGTGGTCTCAGCGGTGGAAACGTCCTCGTCGTCGGCGCGCCATCGCTTCGACCCGGTCGGGTAGCAAGCGTAAGTGCAGTCCTCGAGAAGCAACTGCCCGACCTTGCTCTCGTCGGACCACCTGTGACAAGAGAAATGGTCCTTGCACCGCTCTTGCAACACCAGCGCGCCCGTTTGATCGCAGTTGAACTTGAGCCCGGGTCTCCTTCCTCTAGGCAGCTCGACGTGATCCACGTCAATGACCAGAAGGAACGTATAGAAAACTGCAGACAAGATACAGGCGATCGCGATCATCACTCTCAGATAACGACCAGTCGAGATCTTGTTGGTTCCACCCTGATGACCCGCCAGCTTGTCGGCGATGGGACTGGCGATCAGGGGTCCCACGATCGCCACTGCCGGCGAGATCATCGAGATCACTTGGATCTGCTCGATGGTCAATCCCATTTCCATCATATGCAACGGGAGAAATGGGAAAAGACAGCCCATTCCTGAAATCATTTCGTAACTAATCCTCTCTTTCTCAAACGATGTTATTACGCTATTACGCTATTCCGCTATTACGCTATTGCGGTTTACCGCAATATTGTACAGTATTGTACCGTAATATTCTATTTTATATATATAAAATAGAATATTAATTATATAATATTAATATTATATAATATTAATTATATAATATATATATTTTATATATATATATATATATATATATATATATATATATATATATAT